CCAGCCCGTAGCGCGGCAGCCTTTTTTCGGGCTGCGCTGGGAGAAGCCGGAGGCAGCGCCAGAAGCAGAGCCCCGGCCTGGGCAGGTGGGAGTGCTCGCTGCAGCCATTCGCACAGGCCTGGGAGTCCGCCCGGCCGAAGGGGGAACACCGGCGGCGGCGCCTCCTCCAGCACCTCCCACGTCTCGTCCTCTGGGCTCAGCGCCGTCGCGCGCTCTGAGTCCCCACCGCCTGGCTTCGCGTCGACAACAACCTGCTGCAAACTCTTGCTGCCAACTTTCTCTGAACCGTCCCCACAGCCGGCATCCGGCACTGCAGTGTCACGTTTCTCCAACGCAGCTCCACCTGCGCCCTCTAAGCTCTTGCCGCCGGGCTTCTCCGCGTTTTCTTCTTCTTCCAGAGACTCGGGGTCATCTCCCTGGCCGTCTGTACGCACGCAGACGAGCGGCGCATCAGGTGGCACCAAGGCCCGGACCTGGGCCCAATCCTTCTCTGTAGGGGCCCCAGAGGTGACGAGGATGAGGGCGTCGTAGTGGGTCGGGTGAACGGTGGTGGCCGCGGCAGGGCAGAAGTGGTCCAGGGGCACCGCCCAGAGCACCACATTGGGGCGTTCTACCGCTGGGAAGGGAGTGGGCTCCGTGGGCGCCGCGGCGGGTGCGGGATCCAACCCGAGGAGCACATCCAGCACAAGGCCCACGTCCTTCGTGCCGGCCACAGCCAGGTCCAGACGTGCGCTGCCCAGGCGCTCCAGGCCAGCGCGCACCCACGACAGCGCCGCCTCCAGGCCACCGGTCTCGAAGGCCTCCCGCACAGCCTCCAGCTCTGCCGCGCCCAGCACTTCGAAACCATCCTGAGCCGGTGGCAGGAGCCTGCGGGGCAGAGGGATGAGGGTGAAGGACAGAAGGGCTAAGTGCCTGAAGGCTGGGCTAGGGTTAGGACTGGGCTATATGGAGAGGGCGGAGCTTTCCGAATAGAATAATCTCAGAGGCTGGAGCAGGAAGGGGAGGGGGCCGACTAAGGCAGGGTAAATAGAAACCAGGTGGGGCCAGACTGAGGAGATTAGGGAAGAGAGCCACACAGCCCTGGAGGTGGAGAGGGAGATGGTGGCTGACCTGCGGTCAAGTTTCCTGTGGTGCCTAAGGGGACCTGTTAAGGCTTTCTGGGGATACAATCCTTAGGGTGGGGCTTTTCCAAAGATCTCATTGTTTGGGGGTTAGAGAAAAAGAATCGCTGAGACCAGCAGATGGCTGAACGTTTCCATTGCTGGACTCCCCTGTCTCTGCCAGTTAAAACTCATGCGGGGTGTGTGTGCCTGTGTGCCCCAAATCCTGAGAAGGCAAGGGATTGCGGCGTGGCCATCCCCCCCGGGGAGGGTGATTTCTTGCTTTTTGTCTCTCTGTCTCTCCCATCAGCCCACAGACCCTATAGCAAAAAATATGTTTTGGTCTTCCCCCCACCCCAGAGGTTTGTTGAATTTCTAGATCAGTTTAGAGAAGTAGCTCTCTCCATTTATTTCTGTCTTTATTTATATTATAAGTGTCTTGTAGTTTTCACCAGAAAAAAAAATCTGTATTTTGTTAGACTTTTTTCTTTTAAAGGTTTTTGTTATGGACAAATGTGCTTGCTAGAGAGACAGTAAAAGGGAAGGTGAGAAATCAGTCCCAAGGGTGGATGGCCATGCCGCAATCCCTTCTCTGTTCTCCTCCTCTGTTCTCCTCTCGGGATCTTGGGCATGCATAGATACGCGCCCAGCGTGAGTTTAAGCCACCGGGTCCGGGACTCAAACCGCGGTCAACTACAGGGGAGTCCAGTGACAGCCATTATGCTAACTGTTGGTCCCTCTCCTCCATTCTCAGCGATCTTGGGCATGCATGCACTCGTGCCCGGAGTGAGTTTAAGCCACCAGGTCCGGGACTCAAACCACAGTCTACTACATGGGAATCCAGTGATATAGCCACTATACCAACTGCTGGTTTCACACACAAAAAAAATCTTAAAAAACGAAAAATCAACTGTAACATGGTCCTAAAGGAATGTCAAGCACTATTAACATGAACAGGTTCCCCCACCCCACCCCCCACTCTCTGCTGAAGCTGGGCCTTACTAGGGGGCAGTGAGGGGATAGTAGTCATCCATTAGTTCTTTCCATTGGATGTGGCTAAGGCAATACTATGCAAAAAGGGAAAAAGATGAGTAGTAGAGAAGCTACCATTTTCTGAGTCTCATTTTTACGGATATAAAACAAGGTGGCTGGCAGGTGGGGATAAAATTTAGGAGGTAGCTAGCAAGTGGGCACAGAAAGTAAGGGAAATTGAAGGGGTGGAGGGCAACTAGAAATAATAAAAGCTCGTCGAGAGCGTGGCTTTAGGACCAGTAGGATCACTTGAGAACCAAGCTTATGGCAAAGACGACGAGAGGGCTCCACAGTTTAAGTGTCGGGGCACTGCAAACCAATGGGCCAAGAGGAAACCCTTGCAAAATTTTGTCTAGGGACAATATTTGAGTGGTAGGTCTGGACATGTCTATAATTCTCCCTAGAGAGCAGGGCTTATGACCTCAGGAATGCTGGCAGGAGGCGGGACCTTGAAGAGAGGTTGAGACTAGCTGACCCTAGGCTGGGGTGGAACCTCTCTGGCCTAGAAACTTGAGCTGAGGGAGAGGACCTGGGGTTCTGGAAAAAGGGGCAGGGACCCAGCACAAATCTAATTAAGCCTTTCCCTGAATTGCCGGGGCGAGGTCCTGCGGACCTCAAAGAACATTTTATCGGGTGGAGCCCAGAGGAACGGACCAGGCCTCTCTAACGCGACCGAAACCCAGCGCTCACCTCTGCAGTGCTTCTGCCTGGCTCCGCAGCGCCGCCCGCAGGCGCTCCAACTCCTCGCAGCGATCGCTGGGGCAGCCTTCCGCAGGCAGCACGAAGAGAGCCGCAGCTCCCAAACCTGCGCTCTCCAGAAGGGCCGCCGTCTGATCCCGTGCCTGGGTGTTATTCTGCGAATCCCCGGGACGGAGGTTCCGTACAGCCAGGAGTGGGGTCCCTCGGGCCAGGGCGGCCCGCGCTGCCTCTCCCAGCGCTGGGTCCAAGGGCTCCCTGTTCTCTTCGGGTCCGGGTAGCACCAATACCAGCACGTTAGCTTCAGCTGCCCAGGGCCCGGGCACTGCAGGTGGGCAGCTCAGCTCGCCCAGGAAGAGGCCTGGGCCCGCAGCGCGCAGAGTGGGGACACCGGAGTCCGGCCGTTCCTCGAGGGCCTCTATTATCTCCACATCCTTGTCACACAGCGCTGCGATGAGCGCAGATTTCCCCGAGCCTGGAGGTCCCAGGAACAAGGCGGTCACGTCTCCCTGCGGCGGAGGCATAGCTGGAAAGCAAGGGATGGGAAAGACCTAGGTCAGAACCACACAACCCTCTTCTATCCTAGCGGCCCCACCCTGAACTGACTTCAGTCCTCCACCTGTCCCCTTCTTCCATTCTCGGGCGTCACTCTCCAGGACTTGGAGATCAGCGCCCAGGCTCTATTCCCCAGAGACCCAGGCATTCTGTCGGCCCTCTTTGTGGATGCGAGTGTGTCCTTTCTGCTTAAAAACACTCAGAAATCCGGCCCCAGTCCCTTGTCCCTCGGGAACACGGAGGTGATTCTCCCCGAGCAGCTTTCGAAATCACCAACCGAGTACACAGCCGACACACCGGAGAGCAGAGCTGATAGCTGCGGGTGGGCTGCCGAGAAGCCGCGACCCTGACGTCCCGCGGACGGAGGCCTAAGAGGCCAGACCACCCGGATTTAGGGACGCCGGGACGCGCTCGGTGGCTCTAGCTGACGTCACTCTCTACGAGGGGGTGTGTCTTGGAAGAGTGACTGCGGAGACATAACCCTTTGCTGCGCCTGCGCCGAAGGGCCCAAGTCGCAGGCTCCCCGGCCCCAGAGCCGGGAACAATGAGGGCCGAAGCGCCTGCGCGCGGGGAGCGCCTATCCATGCTTGCGCAATAAGCTTAAGCGTGTACGGCACGGGCGGCTGGTACGTCATCATGACGCGCCCCAGTGCAAAGAAAGACCCGCCCGTTATTTTGAGGGCAGAGTTGGCGCGACTTTGCTACTGCCGGATGGCAATCCGGATCTCGGTTTGGAGAGGCTCATCAGGCGAAGGGGCAAGGAAACCTCGGGGACCCTGAGACTCCGAGGGCCCTACCTCGCTTCCCGCCGGGTGGTGGCGCTGTGGCGAGCGACCGGCAGGCACAGTGAAAGGCCGTCGGCTGAATGGAGAAATGCAGAGGCCTGGGCGACCCGCCGCGGAGGGAGCGGAAGACAGTGCTTGGGGGGAACGGGGCTCAGCGG